GAGAGAAGAAGAGAGAGAGAGAGAGAGAGAGAGAGAGAGAGAGAGAGAGAGAGAGAGAGAGATGCAACCAAATTCACTTAGCTATTTTGAGGCCTATATTCTCTTAACTCTTGGTGTAGTGGTTAAGACACCAGGCTAGAAACTGGGAGACTGAGTTCTAGTCCCATCTAAGGCACAAAGCCAGCTGGGTGACCTTGGGCCAGTCACTCTCTCTCAGCCCTAGGAAGAAAAAAGCAATGGCGAACCACTTCTGAAAAACTTGCCAAGAAAACGGCAGGGACTTGTCCAGGCAGTCTCCGAGAATCGGACACAATTGAACAGATAGGAAAAAAAAATTCTCTTAGCTATCTATTCAGATCCTATCTGAATACTGTATCTGCAGCATACAGTACTGTAAGAAGTCTTGGGTGGTTTTGCACATTAAGCATAATGCTTTCACCTCGAGGAAGACACTGCAGCTCCAAGTTAAATTCTTGTAACGTGCCATGTTTTGGAATACATGTTTTGGATCAATGTCACAACACATGGCACACTGACTTACAGCACAACACATGATTTACAAGGCCACTTTTCAAAGACCTCTGGCTTAGTCATCTGATTGCCAGGTATGTTGGTTCGTGTGTGTGTGTGTGCACGCGCGCAAGCATGGTTACTTTCCTTTTTTTTTTTTTAGCTACTCAGGTAACTTTTTCCAAATTATGTTGGACACCACCTTGAGTCCAAGGAGAGTCCAGTTGGAAACCATTTGAATAATGAACGCCTCAAGTTCAATCCCTGGCATTTCCATTTAAAATACATAGGAGAACTGGGAAAGATCTCATGACCTAGCTAGACCCAGATGCCAGGAAACTGCTTCACCACAGATCAGCCATCTAGCCTAGTACTGTTTACTCAGTTCTCTGAGACTGCAAGTTGATCTTTCATATCTCTTGCTCCATGATTCTTTTCAGCAGGGATTTAGCAAGCAAAACATGCTACTGAGGGAAAGACAGACTCAGGCCAGAAACCAGCTCCATAGCTACCTTAAGACTGAACAATTAATCATATCCTTGAGAATATCCCAGACCTGATGGATGTGTCTGTTTTAAGAAGAGGAGAAAAGAAGGGGCTCTCTCCCTGCTCTGTTTACACAAAGGTAAATCTGATGTACCATATAGTATCAACCCTTATAGCATTACAGCTCCAGGATCAGATTATTCAGTGTGCCTCAGCTGATTCATATGCAGTTGACCTTGAAGGATTATATTGTGTCAAACAGACATGCAGATCTCTAAACACCGACATGCAATAAATACATGCACGTTTGATAAAAACGATGCATTTATTTCAATGTCAATAACTCTGGGTACATCCAGTTGATAAGAAACAGGCACAATCTGTTTATATACACAATCTGTATACTAGAAATAACTAGTCTTATAGTATACTAGATATAGTAACTAGGGCTAGATTCCCAATTAAGCCACATATTGTCTTAGTATACCAAGGGAACCCAGCCTTTGCAATTTCTAAATCATAGTTTGGAACTTTGTTCTAACCAGCCTGTTGCCAATTGTAGGGGTTTTTTTCAGAAATTATGGCTAAGCAAATCAAGGCTTAGTATATGTGAAATTCATGGTTAATTTAAACTTGACACATCACATTAATTAAGGAAACAGACAACAACTTCTTAGATCCATCAGTCCTGCCTAAAATTGCAGATGCGTCCACTTACCCATGCTTAACTGAACCATGCTGTACTCAATTAACACAGTATATAGGTTTATATGACATACTGAACTACAAGCTAACTTTACAATCTGAGTTTGCATAGCAAGCTAGGGGAGAATGAGCTTAGGGAGTTTGTGGTTTAGCATTTAGCAGGAGCCCAGCCAATCTCTTAGCATACTACTGTATGAGCTATAATATAGCTTATTTGTTTGGGTATAGCGTGCTATGTAAATGCAACAACTGTGCATTACTAACCTGGTTTTAGTGTGTGTGAATCCAGAAATATACTATAATATTCATAAATATTAAATGTATTTAATATACATTTTTATATATATATATAATATATATAATATAATATAAATATAATATTCATAAACATAATCATTACAGTCACTGTAAACCAGGGAAAAGCATATCATAGACTGAGATCTAAAGGTAGATTTGTTGGTGATCTACAAGGATTTCCAACTTCCATAATACCAGAATAGTAGCAACATCCTGCACTGTATTACTGAATTATGCAAATTTGGGTGATCTGACATGGATATTTACTAGCTGGTTAACTGAAATGCCAATGTATTGATGCAACAGATGAAACCATAAATTAATCACACTAGCTTAATTTTCTACAAATCAGCCAAGCACATTTTTGGCTAACATGTGTGGTTGGCTGATGGTTTAGTATGCCATGAAAATTCAGACAATTGAATCCCTTGAGTAAATCATAGTTAAGGATGTCATGTAAACACAGCCATGTCATATTTTAGTGTTAATCTAGCCACTGTGAGTAGTGCTCACCACTGATACCAAAAACAAGTTCAGGGTTCAGCATTCTTTGGTAATATGTGTGTCTCCTATACCAGAGGTCTTAGGGATCTAATAATAAAACGAAGTAGTTTTCAAAAACTGAAATGGGTCCATTACTGATGTAGGTAAGCTCTGGTGTGGATTTGTTTAAGACAATGAAATGAATGCTATGGTAGGAGATCAAACCCAAGGGTAACAACAGAGGACTTAAGGCTCAATTCCAGTTACAGGAGGAACAATTCCTGCACTGAGTCCTCCAAAAGCTTCTGCAGAAGCAAGGAATCTACGCAAAATGAGGACCCTGTGGGAAAATGTACCATTAAATCAATTCTCTCCGCCCCACAATAAAATGTGTGTAGCATGTCATGTGGCTGGAATAGCTAGGAGGTCTCCCCACCCCCTTCTTTCAAGAGAAGTGCAAGAGACCACTCCAAGGTTCATGCAATTTCATTTCACCATATCTCAAAATGGACACTACAGCAGTCTTTAAGGCTGACCCTGAAGCAGATGCAAACTCCACCAGTTTTGCATTCAAGTCTACAATCATTGCACAGTAAGGTTACGTGTGGATAGGCAATGTTCCCTCTTAGCCTTTAGCTGCGGCCACATGTAAAAACCACCCATTTCATCCTGCAGAGCCCCGGTCCGTCCGTCTGTCTACTACATAGCTGTAGAGGGTGCCTATCTTTTGTTGTAAAGAGGCTAAAGCGGCAAGGGTTCAAAAAGTGGGGGCAAACTAAGAGAAGGTAGCCGAATGCCACAGAAACATTTTAAAGATGAGAAAATGTTGCAACCTATCAAATGCACACTGACACACACACACACACACAATCTGCCTAGAAACATTCCCATGCTTTCCTCTCGAACTACAGCAGCAGCGCTGCTGATTCTACAGTCGAAAGCAGCCAAAAAGGGGAAGAAGGAGAGAAACAGTTGATTTGCAAGTGCTAAATTAACAGCCTTCCAAATGTGCAAAAGGTGATCTCCAAAACAGCCCTCCCCTGAATCAACCTCCCACCCCTTTCTTTCCTTCCACTTGCAGCTGAGAGATGCACCATTAGAAAGAGACAGCAAGAGACAGATGTTTCTTCCCGCTCCCACCCTCCCCCCGACCCCCTCTCCCCCCTTTTACTTGTCGCAAAAATCCACCAAAACCCACAATCCCCCTCTGTGCCGGTAGG